TAAGATTGCTGGGAGAAACATCAACAACCTCAGATATGCAGATGATACCACTCTATGGCAGAAAGTGAAGGGGAACTAAAGAGCCTCTTGAGGCGGGTGAAGGAGGAGAGTGCAAAAGTTGGCTTGAAACTCAACATTAAGAAAACTAAGATCATGGCATCCGGTCTTCTCACTTCCTGGCAAATAGATGGGGAAGAAATGGAGGTAGTGACAGATTTTATTTTCCTGGGCTTCAAGATCACCACAGACGGTGATTGCAGCCAAAAATTTAAAAGTTGTTCTTTCCTTGGAAGGAAAGCTATGGCCAATCTAGACACATACGAAAAAGCAGAGACATCACCCTGCCGACAAAAGTGCATATAGTCAAGGCTATGGTTTTCCCAGTTGCAATGTACTGCTGTGAAAGCTGGACCATAAGGAAGGCTGAGTGCCGAAGAATTGAGGCCTTTGCATTGCTGTGCTGGAGGAGACTCCTGCGAGTCCCTTTCGATCAAACCAGTCAGACTTAGAGGAGATCAACCCTGACTGCTCTTTAGAAGCCCAGATCCTGAAGATGAAACTCGCTAACTCAAGATCATGCTAACTCAAGTTCTGCTTCACTTTTGTGTGGGGCCTACAATCTTGCATGTGAATAAGGAGTTGCTGAACAGAGATAATTTAATAGCTTAGCACAATTCAGAAGATTCTTATTTTTCTGGGGACTATGGAAAGGCAATGGGCCAGACAAAGGCAGGTATAAGAAGAATGGTCTCTTTTACTGCTTCTGCTGTCTGCAAGAAATGCACTGGATGTATTGACTTCATTTTTAAAACCTGGTAAGACTGCTTAGACATCCTTAAGTTTCAAGCTTATTTGAAATTGAAACATAATGGTAACTTATCTCTCCAGAAGGCATACGACAGCTGCAAAGACTGACACCATGAGAAGGATGCTACTTCTATACCAGACTACCCCAACCTAGAGCTCTTGAAATATTTTGCCAGTGCAGCCACTGGGGGATAATGGGAGTTGTGATCCAAAACATTGGTGTGGGGGCATCAGGTTGGGGAAGGCTGTTCTACAGCATCAACTGTGCCCTGATGAATGGGAAGAGAACTCCTTAATTGGTGTGAAGTTCAATTCTGCCCATATTTCGTTGGAGGCAAGGCTTCAAATTCCTCCAAATTTGGTGGGCCACATCCCCAATAAATGTGAGCAGGTCTGCAGGCTTGAGGAATCCAGCTGAAATAGTAACAAAACTGAAGTAATCATGGGTAATATACTGCACTGCATCTCATTAATAAGTGAAGTATACATACACTTTAACCAGCCCTAAGTGAAACAAGCAGCAATTTATACCCATCTCCTGCACATTTTACTGTTAGTAAAACTAGCTCCGGTGATATATGATGTGACAGTGCTAATGAGTTCTGACTCGAGCTTTTATATACTGAGTGGTGCTGTTTCGCTTTCAAGACAGCATGGCTGGTTGCCAGCCAGATCTCTTAATTTTTGTAGCACACTTTATAAATGCAAAGAAGCAGATCAATTACTAATGCTAACTTCACTGAATGTAGCACCTGTTCGAGCAGGTATTTCATGTGCTGATAAACCACAATTTCCCAGTTTTGGATCTGTATCATTTCACTCAGATAAATTAAAATAAAATCAAACACATTCATACACTTGAAACTCTTAATATGCATGTTCTGGTAAGAAGCCACATTGTGGATGAACTAAACTCTTCTAACTGACATCAGTTACAAAATCTGATCAACAGGGTTATATACAAGGCTTTTAAACTACCGTATCTACTTTTGGTTTTGTGGAAGAATTAAGATCTGGGCTCTTTTCCTGCTTTCTCACTGCTTAACATCTGGTGTGCCATAGTAGAACAATGTATTTACATAAGTAGGGAAAATATTTCTTTCACATTAACAAGTAATACTCCAATTTTCCCACCTTAGAAACCACAATGAAAGTGGTCTGTAAAAACAGAAGCAAAACTGGTATGTGTTTGTGTGTGCAGGCATCATTTAAAGAACCTGTGAACGATGATGAGGAAGGAATGAGTACACAGTGAATATCTTTTACAGAAAAAGCTGATGCACAAAAGTCTGTGGAAACTTTTAGTAACAATCACCACTGCTTGAGGTCTGACTCTCTTGTGGTTTTTGCTTTATTGAGTCTATACTGGAATTATGCTATTGCCTTTAGTGATGTTTAAGGATCCAGTCCTTCTAAGGACTTTAAAACTGTAATAACCTTTTATGAATAATACTGGTAACAATGATTATGTTCCATGATACATCTAATCCTATTGCATGTCTTTTTTTAGAGTTGAATCCACAGGTGCTCTTTCACTCACAGGACTGTTTCACATCTCACACCAGAATACTGGTGAAAGAAAAACTAAGCCAAGTCTAAAGATGTACTATTGATAGATGCCTTGGACATGTTCTGATGGAAAGATGGGTTTTGCATTAAATAGAAATAAATAAATAAATTCTTCTGTTTGCTCAGTCTCATCTATATATGTAAAGATGAGTGCTATTACAGAATTTACTATCCACACCTGGTATAAATGTCACTGCTGGCATCTGTAGAACAGCTAGCAATTTGCTGGATTTTACTCACACCTCTTTGGATCCAACCCAAAGGTTTTCTTCCCCTCCTTCAAACCTCATAATACCTTGAGTACAATTTCCTCCTGCTCAAGCCATGTGTCAGCCATGACATGAAACCTAACCACTGTGCAGAAGGTGAGGTTTAAGATAAGGATTGATTTTGCAACCGCTGGCCTTGTGGATCATCTGAGGACATCTTTTTATTGTTAAGTGTCATGAATTGACAACAGCCAGAACGAGATGTCTCTTTAATGCCCCATCTAAAAATTCTGTAGGTGACCCAGTTCATAGGCTAAGAGAAAGCAAGGGAGGTAATCAGGAAACAATGCTGACAAAACCTCTCTGGGTCCTATTGAAGAAGCAGGGGTTTAAAAAGCCACGCTCCTGTTCATATCAAAGAAAAAAGTCCGAAAGATTTCTTTCACTTCATACACATGTGCTACTGAAGGGAGTGCTTGTTGGCTAACCAGCCATTATTCAGTGCAAAAAATGACCTCTAAAGCACTAGCCAAAAAAGCAGACTACTTAAATCACTAGGGCATTTGTATGGAATTATAATATGCATGCATATATTTTGCTGTCTCAAGATATGCGCAAATCTGTCAGATTCTTTTTAAAGAACCCTTTAAAAATTGCACTTGGAGAAAGGCGTGGGATGTAGACCTAGAGAACCTAGAGGCTTGGGGAAAAGGTGGAGGGCACTAAGAACTATGAGGACAGCGCTTAAAAACTAGAGAATCACATTGCTAAGGTGGAAATTGGTGAACCACTCGCTCTGGGGGGCAAACACCCCTTTGCCATTTTGCTTTGCAATTGACGGTTCACCAACTGACAGCTGCTAATTGTGTGCAAAGTAACCTATATGTTGTTTCACTTGCTCGGTGTCCACAGGTATCAGCTACCACACTCGGACAGCAGACACCAGGGCGTTGATGAGGCAAGACTCCACATTTCAGGCACCTGTAAGAAAGAACCTACAAAAAACCGGGAAGAGGTAATTATGCACATTTCTGTGGTCCCTCCAAAGGTAAGGAACCAATGATGGTCACTTCAAAGGCCTACCTGGGCATTGGTGGAACAGCGGTCACTGGTGGGTGCATGGAGTTCTCAGAAAAACAAACAGTGACTGAAAATGGGCTTGGCATAGGGAAGGAGAAACGAGAGCATTGTGCCATCAGCTCCTGTAACTGGGTCAGGGACAGGGCAGGGCAGATAACGCACAATAAGCTCAATCATCTGTCAGGCATATTGTGGGTTGCTCCATGAACAGGGTGTGTTGCTATGCCATACGGACTTGCCCCTTGCCTGCCTGAGAAGCTGAATGGGGCTAGATGTACCAGCATTTCGGCAACTTCCTGTGTTCATTTCATCCGTGCCCATGCAACTTTGCAGTGGAGCAAAGGGTCTCTCTCTGTCAGCTCAGTAGGGACCAGCCCCTATCTGGCATTTTTGAAATTATTATTTAATTTATATCTTGCCAAAAACTGGTGCTCAAGACAGCTATTAATGGAGTTCAGTTTAAAAACAAGATCTTTATTCAAGTGTAACATTCAAACAATACATTAAAACACAATTTAAAAGCGTAGCAGAGAAGAAATCAAAACTGAACCAGTTATAAAACAGGCCAACTCATATCTCAGCTCTGCTTGAATATTTTTGCCTGCTGGAGAAAAGGCAACACAGGGAATGCCCAGCTTTTTCCTTTGCAAAGCAGTCCCCTGCCATTTTCATTCCACTGGGCCCTTGTCTAACTTCCATTATATAACAAAATGCTGCCATGAATTTGCTTGCTTTTGTTCTTCACTTCCACATTTTTGTCCTTTTGTACATCATTCCTATTAGATCTCAGTCTTTATTATTATTTTTATTCCCAGAGCGCTCTGGTACAAGCAGCATATCCATATCCTGTAGTAAATAAATGAATGACTTAAAATACATGAACAACGACCATGGCAGTGGAGGCAGTTGGGACTATCTAAGCTAAAATGAAGAACAAATGATTGTGGTTCCGAGAGAGTCAGTGTAACCAGTGCTGGATGGGGACTCAGGAGATCTGGGTCTGGTGTCCAGTTGGCCACAAAACTGACTGACTTGTTGAGTAATGTCGGGCCAGTCATGGACTCCCGGCCTAACCTCCCTCACTGGGTTGTTGTCATGAAGTTAAAATGGGAAGAAGAGCACTTTGGAAGTCACCTTAGCTGCCTTGCAAGAGGAAGAAAGGAGGACTATAAATATAGTGAAATCATAATAGTAAGAACAAACTGCCATGGTGTGCATAGGGAAAGTGCAGGCTGGGGGTGGTGAGGTGCATGTGCCTGGCAGCCGGGTGAAAAGCTCCGTCCAAGGGACTCCAGTGGTTAATGTGCTTGTGAGATCTGTGTTCTTCCGTGCTCTTGGAGAGACTCAGCTGTGGGCTAAGGTGAAGGCCAAAGCAAAGGTATGGATTAAACATGCTGCCAGTCTACAGAAAGCCGTTGGCTAGTACTACATTTTTTATGTGGGGTTCAATTGTGTTCTTGCAGAAGCTTATATTCCAAGCATTACTTCAGCAGAAGTTGCAATCATATGGTGGAATTCTAGTGACAGGAAAACCTCAGGGGCCAGAGTAGTCCAATTTACTGAACATATTTAATATCTGGGAACAAGAAGTTGATTTTTTTCAAGAAAACCATACACTGACCCTGAGGAATTTAAATGTCAGCAAGTCCTGGGAAAGATGTGAATCTGATAAGAGCCTTTTGAGGCAGAACTAGATATGTTCATACAATGGCATTTGGCAAGACGATGGGAACAGTTCCCATGGTCTCCAGCACTTTAGCACAGATGCTGCCCCCACCCCGCATTTGGCCAAGTGAAGTGATCATATCATGAAAGATCTACAATTTTTTATTTTTATTATTAATATTTCTATACCCCTTTTTGTTAAAATAAGCCATTAAGGTTACAATCCTATGCAGGTTCCGGAAGCAAAATGTTGTCGAGGATGTACCACTTCCCAGCATCACTGCCAGATGTAAGACTTTTTTCTGTCTAAACAGGGATAAGATTGTGTTCTAAAGTGCTGATTAACAATTTAAACAATAAAACCTTAACTGGCCAGTTTAAAAAGTGGAAAGCTCTAAAACAACAGCACTTGACAGTTAAATGTTCGACAGATGCGTCTTCGGAGCTTTTCTAAAAAGGGAAAAAAGAACTGGAGAGCAGGGTCCAGGCATGGGTCTTGTGGGAGGACGCCCCATGTGGGAATGGCCCCACAGGAAGCGGCTAGTGTTTGCCTGACTGGCCCACCTGAGTGCCCAGGCAGGCTCACAGGGAGGCAGGAGGCCCTTAATCCGTCACTGCTGTACCTTTTTTACTGGCAGGGAGGAGAGAGGCCCTTGTGTCCTCGGGTGCCAACCTTACTTGGCTGGCCTTGGGTACATAAGCAGCCATGCTGGGTCAGGGTGGGGGGGGGTGAGGATTCCACTGCACACGCCAGTTGCTGAGGAGCTCGGGCAGGAGGAGGCCTTGCACCCATCCTGCTTGAGGGACCCTGTGGGCAGCTGGCCTGCCAGCTTGTGTGCGGAGTGCTGGGCTAGTGAGGGGAGGAGGAGGCAAAGGGGGAGGGGCAAAAGGCAAAAGGCTGGTGAGGCTAAAATGCCAGCATGTTGCGCCACAATGCAGAATGTTCTTACTGTTTAAGGCAAGCCTTTGGAGGGGCATTTCAGCCTTTTGGGAGGGGGAAAGAGCTGCAGTAGAGCAGGGAAACTAGTTCCTGCAAAGGGGAAGGAGTAGGGCCCCTCTGGGAATTTTTTTTTTATTTATTAGGATATTTTTATCCCATCCTATATGAATCGTCCCTGGATGGCTTACAGTGTGATAAATAGCCAATAAATTCAATAGCAAGATAAAATACAACTGAGGATGAATAAAATCTGATTAATTTTTTTAAACTTTAAAATATTGGGTAAATAAAAAGGTTTTAGCCTGGTTCTGAAAAGCATATAACGTTGGCATCAGGAAAACCTCTCTGGGGAGCACATTCCACAGCCGGGGCGCCAGCGCAAAGAAAGCCCTCCTCAGGTAGCTGAGCATGGCCCCTGAGCCTGAGGGCTCCAGCCCTGGACACAGGGCAATGGTGTCCCTAGGAAAATAATCACTAGGTAGGTTGATCCAATTGTTACAGTGACTAATGTGAACAAGGACTAACAGATAATAATATTTCATGCAGTAGGCAAGCTTAAGATCCATATTTCTGGGATCTACAGGAGTCTCCTACTGAGAGGCCCTGAGAAAGGCCTGACACAGCTGATATTGAATGCAACATGCCTACAGGAATGAAGCAGTGCGCAGAGGGTACCAACATCGGAAGCTGCCTTCTGTTGAATCAGACCACTGGTTAGTATTTTTGAGAGAGGGCCTGGGGATTCATATGCAGTGCAGGAGTTTTTCCACTCAATGATGCATTTTCTGACAGGGGCCAGCATCTGAGTCTTTATGTAGATACTGGTTTGATAAGCGCTCAGTGGATCTGCTGGGAAAATAGTACGGCTAGATAAGTCAAGCCCTGGCTTGAAGCAGTGCAGTTTGCCCTCTCTGGGCATGTCCTTTCCCCTCAACCAGAGGCTTTCAAGGGCTCGGAAGTAGGGGAATTGCAGGTTCTGTTTCCTTGGCTGAGAGGACTAAGCCCTGGGAGTAAGGTGTAGAGTGGAGGGCTATCCCTTTTGGGGCATCTGCGTTGGTCTCTTGGGGTGGGACTAGCGTAAACTGGCTGAGGCAGTGTACTTGGGATGACCAGCATCCAGGTGGGTCACCCCTTCCATGGCTGAGGCATAAAGTATGTGAGGACTGGGCCAGGAAACAGTGGGCCTGAATCTGAGATTCAGTCAAGTGCTCTGGGAGCCCCACATGATCCTTGAACAAGAGTCCTGGAATACACTCTACTATTCAATGCAACCTACTGTTTCTGAGGGACTGCAGGTGGTGCAGTGGTTTAAATCGCTGTGCTGCTGGGTAGATCGAAAGGTCGCCGGTTCGAATCTGCACAACGGGGTGAGTTCCCGTTGCTCCATCCCAGCTCCTGCCAACCTGGCAGTTCAAAAGCATGCAAATGCAAGTAGATAAAAAGGTACCACTTCAGTGGGCAGGTAACAGCGTTTTGTGCACTTCGGTGTTTAGTCTTGCCGGCCACATGACCATGGAGACTGTCTGCGGACAAACGCTGGCTCCCTTGGCTAGGAAACGGAGATGAGCACCGCCCCCTAGAGTCAGGCATGACTGGACTTAACGTCAAGGGAAAACCTTTCCCTTTCCCTTACCTTTACTGTTTCTGAAAGTGTGTTGAGGATGTTGTTGAAAGTACTATCGCATAATGGAAGTTGTACACTGCTCTGAAATTCTGTTTTATATGGTAGTTTTAAACTTCTATAATGTATTTTAACTTGTATGGTTTTAATTGTTGTGAAGCACATAGAGAGCTTCAGTTAGGAAGTGGTATAGAAATGTGATAAATACATAAGAATAAGTACAGTATATAAAAGCCTTAATGAATAAATAAAAGCACGAGCACTTTGGTATATGCTTTGTTCTTTAATTTTACCAGTAAGTGGTATATAAGAGTATTTTAATTCACTTTTTCTTCTCTATAGTGTAATAGAATGTAATCTGCGCACTTGACCAAACTCTTGATGAAGGCAGCATTCTAAGCAGCTCCAGCATCTTCTGAGCCAAGTCACAAAATGAAGGAAGTTTGATTAAAATTGATTTTTAAAAACCAGTAACAGCGCACATACAACTCCCCTGCAACATTGGAAATTCAAAGTGCATTCCATTTGGAGAGTCCAATAGCAAAAAATGACCATATGATTTATTGCACTTATGAATCATGAGCTTGCTCATTTTTACTGACTGTGGAGCAATACCAATTTCTGTTAAATATTTAAAAGACTTACGGTAGTTCGGACAAGCCATTTTGCTTTTACTCTCTGGGTCTGATCAATTTAGAACATTCTGCTTTTCGCATGGTATTTTGGAACTGTTTGATGTCATTCTTCTCTTTTCAAAAATAAGCAAGTAATTTCCTATCACTGTCAATCCATTCATAACAATTTGCATGCATAATTTTTTTATCACAGAAAGATCAGCCATTCCCTAAATATCCATGTGAGCAAAAACCTGTTTCTCTTAATTGCACTGTCAGACTAAACAGTCATTCAAATCAAGCATTTGCCAACTGTGACTGTTCTATTCCATCAGTCTTGTTTCAGGGTTCAGCATTCCCTTGTTTCTTCAGTTCTTTCTACGGTATTGGTAATAATCCTGAGACAACAGTTTTTCTGAATTGGATTCCATTTCATTTTTATCTTTGAGTTAAAACAATTGACACAAGGCTGTGAGAAATAGAATTCTAAATACTAAAATTGCCCCTAAGATATCTGCATGCTGAAAATCATGTTATGGGGGCATGTTATCATATGGTGCAGATGGCAGTTGAATGCTTAAGCTCTTCTTCTTGTCTTGCCCAAAATAGCCAATCTGAGTGTTCAACATTTGCTTGGAACATCTACGGGTAGAGTTCATCACACCTTGAAAAAGGAGAGTGTCTTTTCATGAGCTTAAGAATTCAACTCAAGTTGAATTCAACTCAGCTCAAGAATTCAGCTCAACTTCAAGGTGCTTGCCAGAAAAGAGAAAGGCCTACAGGAGGATACAGGCTCACCAGGGAAAAAATTGATCTGAAAGCACAGAGGCCTCTGAGAGATGTAAGTTCTCTTGCTACAGAAATGGAATGAAACCAAACCAGGTGTTATATTTAGCAGTAGTAAACATATGTATTTAGCAACAGTAAACTGATGCAAGAGATTCAGCTAAAACCTCAAGATCAATTTGGAGAAGATAAAATATTCACTGGAAGAAATTACGCATTGCATAGCTGGCAATAACGTGGATAAATCTGGAGGAAGTTTTCCCAAAGTTGAATGATTCTGGATTAGGCTTTTGCTGTGCAATCACACTACATTTTCCCTCAAATTTTACACAATGTTATCCTCTTTGCTAGGTAGCCCTCCAGTGTTTCCTCACTACTTTTTCCATCTTTTTCTTACCAGGAAACAAAAACAACACCAACAAAGATTAAGGAGAAAAAATGGCATAGCTGCAGAAAGCTTTTTGACTGTGCTCTGGAAGCAGCTTTAAATGAACCATCCTTTGTCTAGTCTCTTAGAAAAAATGCACAATGTAAGTGAAACCCCTCTGTAAGAAATTGTGGCATCCCTGCACACCCCCAGTTTACCACACAGTCTCTTACACTGACTGCATACTAACCTAATTAGAGTGGGCTAAAGTTATCAATTATGGTAAGATATATGTGAGTTTCTTTTTCCATCATGCAAGGGTGAATTGTGTTTTTACTAAATCAGCTCTACAACCTGAGAATTGACAGAGAGATTGAATGTTTTATTGCTGTGAAGCAAAGTGGCAGGAAATCTATCAGACAAGAATTGACAAACTATTTCAGGAGATATTACACCAGCCTTGCTTTTGGACAAAATGTTATGCCAGCTGTTATCTCTGCCAGTGATGTAGTCATTCCATCAAAGGATCTGGAACAGTAAACAACCACAAAGCTGATGGCAATGGAGGACCCTAGACATTGTGTGAGGGGAGCATAGGCTAGCTCCAGTTCCCAGTTCCAAGTTGGCAGACAGTGCTGGGAATCAGACTCTAGCTCCCTCCCCCGGCTCCTTGTAGCTGGTGTAGAAAGAATTATACTGGATTCTCTCTCTCTCTCCCACTAGATGGGTGAAGAAGCCCATCTAATGAAAATGAGGAATGGGAGGACAGGGAAGCAAAGATCACCTCTGTTGCTCCTCTTGCTCTGCATTGGATGCCCGCTGGCCTCCAGTTCAAGGGAACCTGGGATAGGATGTGCCCTTAGAGATTTCTCAGTGGGATCCACACGAGACCATATATTTAGAAAGCAGATCAATGGATTATGGACATACGCATGGTAGGCGTGTCATGAGTGGAGCCAGCTGGAGCTGGGGGTCAGACTAGATGGCCTGGGAGACCCCTACTGACTTGCTCTGTTTCTGTGTTCTATGATTATTTTCTCTTTGGACAGAGTCACTGCAAGATCCCATGTGGATCTGTTTGCACAGAATATCTGTTGCACACATACAATATCAATTGTGGCAATAATAGGTATCATTCTTATTTGATGATCCAGCAGGAACTTTGAAAGCAATTGTTCTGGTCTATCTCCATTTGGGTGGAATAGTGCCTTGTGTGTCCCAAAGCTGACACAACTCAACAAGCACTTTCTTTCTCCATCCTTGCTCAAATTCTAAGGAGCAAAAAAGTATGAAGAACATCCGAGATAAAATCTTTGATCCCAGAACAAGGTATGTTTTTTTTACCACTCTTTAGTTTGCTTGCTAATATAAATACAGAGGAAGCTTCTAACCAGCCCAGTCCAACTAACCCAGTTTTGCTAACTTAGAGTGGCAGCAGTTCCCTGATTCCCAAGCAGGGTTGTCCACATCCCCTGCTTCCTGAGGCCCTTCTAGCTGCAGAGAGATTGCAGTAGTAGGTACATTCT